CAGTCTCTATGACTTCCTAGCAGACTGCTTATGTCACTAACTGTGTTTTGGCGGGTGGTGATGTTTATGAGTGGATGAGGTCACATTTAGCCCTCCCTCTTCTCTGCCTTCTACTTTGTACCCCTTAGACTCTTGTATTGTTTTGAGGTCTAACCTCAGAACCGCTAGAATTCCTTCTAGTTGTGTTTGGCAACAAACACGCMGAGGAGGCTTTTGATGTGCGACTTGCAGAGGTTAAATGCTCATTTATTTATTTCACGGGGGAAAGGGAAGAGAATCTAGCCAAAACCACATGAATCGCACGTTTAGTTTTTTTATATACTGTCAGTCCTTTCTTTGTGTTTACAGTACCAGATTTTCATCCCCATGGTGAACAAAGTGATGCTGAAGCACAGGATCAATCACCAGAGATACGATATACTCATATGCCGCATTGTGAAGGTAGGTACCTAAAGTCACTACTGTAAAAACGTGCGTTTTTATTCACGTTCGTTGCACATTCAAGTTTATAAAATGTTTCCATGACGCAGAATAAAAACACAACGAAACAAACATTTAACGTACAATTTTCTGTTTATCAACATCCCCTTTGGGAGGAAATGCGGATTCATAAAACATGTTTTGATCACCAGTCGGCGTGCGTGTGGGCTGTTTTGTGTGTGGCCTCGGTAAGTTTATGTGTGTTTTTGCGGCCTGAACAGGGTTATACTCTGGCAGAGGAGGAAGAGGACCCTTTAATCTTCCAACACCGCCAGACTCGGGGCAACTCAGGCGATGCTCTGGTCAGTGGCCCCGTGGAGCCAGGCCCTATGAAGAAGCTTCATGTTAGCACTACTGCACTGCAGAAGGTGAGCAGACACTTCCACGTTCATAGATGACTCATAAACCAGTGTTTGTTTACTGATGTTGTTGCAGGTGATGAAAATCTATACAGTAAACATGTCTGACTACAAGCCCACAGTTCATTTCTGGTGTTGATGTTTAAATCAACAACACGGTGATAAATCACAATAAAAAAAACTGCACAAACAGAAGAACACAATGGATGCTTTACTTTTCGAGCACATGGGGCCACGAAGTGGTTTTRAAACGAAGATGTGATTTCTATGAATGGTTTCAATATTCTCAAGTGTGGAAAATCTGATGCTACCAAACAGTTCCCAGTGCCTTTTTGAAAGATTTGGTTTCTGTTCYCCTGCAGGCTTGGGGTGCTGCTAGGAAGGTGTCCAAAGATGACTGGCTGGAGTGGCTGCGGCGCCTGAGTGTTGTCCTGCTCAAAGAGTCTTCTTCCCCAGCTCTGCGATCGTGCTGGTCTCTGGCACAAACCTATATTCCTCTTGCCAGGTACACCATAACTGACATGTCTACTTTTCTTGCCACACTTCCTCCTCCCCCCTAGTACGTCTCAAATTTTTTTTTTTTTTAATTTGGTCTGTGATATTCAGTTCTTCACAACTGATAAACTGCCAAAGCAAATACCATACTGCCGCCACAAAAAGCTACAGTTTCGATGGTTGTCTCATTTTCGTTTGTAAATGCTGCTGCTTTGCTCCACAGAGACCTGTTCAACGCAGCGTTTCTGTCTTGTTGGTCTGAGCTGAGTGAAGACCAGCAGGACGAGCTCATCCGAAGCATCGAGTTGGCTCTCACCTCCCAAGATATCGCCGAGGTCACGCAGACGCTGCTGAACCTGGCAGAGTTCATGGAGCACAGCGACAAGGTGGGCAATAAGGAGCATCCAGTCTCAGGGTCCTTTAGGCTAAATGATCGAACAACCTGCATTTATAGATCCTTTTGTAGTTTTTTTTTTTTTGTGTGCGCATGCGCCCAGCGAAGCCTAGCTCTTCCAGGTCACATACGGGATAAATCTTGTGCCAGCAGGAATTGATTTTGAATTGCTCAGATTGAATCTGAATGTGCTTAATTTGAAAYTGAATGCATTGGTTTGAAAATTAATTTCATTAAATTGAAACTGAATTTAAAGTTTTGAATTTGAATTAATTTGCTTTGAAACTGTATTTTGGTTTATTAAAAATCCAGTTTGACCACTTTCACTTTCAGTTCCAAACTTCAGATTTTTGTGTCACACATCCTGGTCCTTGAGAAAGCCAGGCAGACTAATCAAACACAGATCCACAGATTTATGTTTCACTTTGGTGAAGCTACCCTTCTGTATGTAACAGAGTTGATGCAATCCACCATAAAAGTGACAAAAACAAAGTTATTTTATTGCAGTGATTAATTTAGATATGTGTGAAATATCCTACCATTCTAAAGGAAAGTTTAATAAAAATCAGTTTAGATCAAATACATCAGGTCTGTATGTTGGCATAAATTTAGCTGTTGAATTTGTGCACTTACAGTGGTGTGTCTTTAGCACCCTCAGCTTTTTTCCGATAAACGTGAGGTCAGTCTGCATTACACATGCGCATTTGTGATCATTTCTAACTATGAAATAGTCTATTGTTTCAAATGTTTGTAGTTATTCTGTAATTCTGAGGCTGTGGGTTCAAACCCAGGTTGTGTCTGGAAGGGCAGCAGACATCAAACAATGATCGAATCACTTTTGTAAGTTTCCTGTGGCGACCGCCGCAGAGAGAGGCAGCCAAGAGAAAAATAACTTTTGACTGAGCTGTAGTTTTCACCATACTATAAGGTGGTGCACAAATAACTTCACTTTTATTGTGTAAATGAATTTTAAATGGATATAACCTTGTTTCTCTCTAAATGATCAGTTTTACACCAACAGAAGGCAGAATACTTCTTAATTCAATTTAACATATTTTATTAAATGTTATAAAATTCAAAATAAAATAATGATAGTGCTTCACTTGAATCAGTTTTTATGTCTTTTATTAACTTTCTTTTAGAAAACCAACAATGCACGAAAGGATTTTACTCTTTGGAGCATCTACTTCATGTGTTGAATGGGTATTTATGAGACGTCTCATTGATGGTTATATTTTATCTGCTAATGTTTTTGCTCACTTCACTGGATATCTACTCTTCCCATTAGTGTCTGTGGCACAGTGCAAGTGGCCTTGAGTGGGATTTAATAGTGTTTTTGTATCTTTTCAGTAGTCTGTTACACATCTGAGCAGTGACCTGACAGTTAGTAAAAAAGTTGATCATAAAGCCTGAACCTTAAAATTATAGCAATTATTTGTCACTTAGGTGTTGTTAAACTACTCGAAGCTGAACAGAGCAAGCATTTCCAGATGGGCCGTTGTCTCAGCTGCTGTGTTTGACCACACAAGTTGAGTTATTTAGCGATGGCACAGTTACTTTGAAGGCTGGTTTGGTCATTATACAGCAAATTTAATGGGGACTTCTGGTTGCGAGGCGTCTGAAGAATCACGTGCGGCGTGTGCTATTCATGATTAGGGAGAACAAGGATTTTTGCCTCTGTTTGCCGTTCAAGGACAGTATAGATAAAAACCAACAGCGTGTTCAGTCGTATGTTAATTTATGTGTTGTGTAATCCATTTTTTTCAGGGTCCTTTACCCCTCAGAGACGATAACGGCATCGTGCTGCTCGGAGAGAGAGCGGCCAAATGTCGTGCCTACGCCAAGGCGTTGCATTACAAAGAGCTGGAGTTTCAGAAAGGTCCCTCTCCTCTCATCCTGGAGTCACTTATCAGGTAGGAGACCTGAAAATCTTAGCAATAATTGAGATCCTAAGAAGAAACACAAAAGTCGATTATAATTGTTATGAAGTTTAGCTCAAAACTCTCTTAAATCAACCAAACTAGATAAATAAAAAGTACACTGTATTTAATTTTTTGACTAATTTAAAATCGGTATTAGTATTGGCTGATTAAATAAATGAGTAGAAATGATATGATAGATGTCAATCTGCCCCAGAACCTTTTGATATCTTTTGTCATCTTTTCCATTCCGTTTTTTTTTTCCTGGACAATTGGCATGGCACAGAGAAATCTGTTTTCCAGACATCTAATTGGACGCCTGCCTCCTTTTCATCTGTGAGTGTCTGGGCTTGTTTCTTTGGGGCCTGTTTTCAATTTCTTGGGAGCCGTTATGATGATGAATGATGGGAGCCGGCACTCTGGTGTTATCCCCATCTGGTTCTCACCTCTCTAGGATTTCCCGTAAAAAAAAAAAATCTACTCCAGTATTCAGAATCCATCTGAAAACCTTCTTGTTAATTAATTAAAATTAATTCTGAGGCATTTATTTAGTTAACAAGGAAGCATCATTGTGATTTTAGTTATTTTAGATGTTATTTCTTTGATAAAATTACATTACAATACATTGTCCTAATGAATGAAAAATAAATACACTTTTCATGAATAGCAAGGGATTTTTGCAGGCGCTGAGTAATTCTAATTGATAAAATTCTCAAATCCCAATTTTAAAAATATATATTTTTAAATTGTTTTTTCACTATTAAGCAGCAAAGAATCATAGCATTTTTGTGTTATTCTTGTTTTATAATGTGTCTGTAAATTATTTGGTTTAGTTTTTTGAATTTTATTTTGACATGTGTGTTACAATATCCAGTGCAAAGTAGAAATAGAGTGAAATCTGGTAAATAGGAATCATAAATATCTGGTAGTTGTATCTTAACCTGTGTATCAAATATGAAATGTTATTTTTTTCTTAATTCGAGTGCATAGTGCTAGCGGGTGTTGCATCTGGACACTTGGATTGGCTTGAAAGTGGAATTTTGAATGAAGTAGGAATATTGTGTTGTACTTGTGTTGCATTCAAGTATGTGGCAGAGTAGAGCTCGTGTGGTCTCATTCCTTCGTTTGGCTTTTGCACCCTTTGACCTTTGGTTAGGATGTCAGCAGATAACCAAAGTGTTAAAGGTTAGTGGCTCAGGGCAGAATTGTGGCTATTACTTTCCATGAATGGACAAAAGGWCTTGTTTTGCATTTAGACTTTTGTTTTTTCCTAATTACAACATATAATGTAAATTTACATTATTATAGTGACAAGACAAGTATAAATACACATTTGACTGAATCTTTGTGCTSTTTCTTTTAAAAAATATTTTTATTTTCTCTCACATAAAACATAATTAAAGAGCTGTACACATTTACAAATTACACATTTCCATCATGAATTTTAAGAGTTTTGCAAGGACTCAAATGCAGCATGAGTTACAGGAAATACATTTTGTGGCAAGTCAAGTTCACATCTAGTCACAATGACTCTTTTTAAAGAGGCTGTATTATGTCTTTCAGGCACATGGTTCAATTCTATACCACACTCAAGTTTTCTTCAGTTATGAAAAAGTTGTATRAATGCTGTGAAATTGGCCTCTTGTCTCTTYAAGAATCTCTACCGTTTCGGACACTCCCACTTCAGCACAATTTCGAACAACGCTTCGGGGGAGGCATGCTCTGTGGGGCRGGAGCTCGGCTGCAGACTGAGTTCCGGGGTGGAGCTTTGTGTAAATTGGCGGAGCTTTGTACCAGCAAGCGTTTAAACGGCTACTTTAAAGATTCAAAGCAACACTCGGAATATGGTTCTGATGAGGGGATGACATTCTAACAGGATATAAAGCTAAACATATTTTTTGCATAATACCACCTCTTTAAATGTGCCCTATCACTTTTTTTTGAATAAAATCTGAACCAGGCTAGACTGATTCTAATTCACGAGTTAAAATAATCTTAGTGCTTTCAAGACAATTGAGAGAAATAATAAAAATCCAGTAGCCCAAATGAGTCAGTGGTTAAAAACAAGCATCAGTCAAAGCTTAAAAAAGAAATCAAACACAACTTATTACTGATAAATACTCAAATACAACTACAATTTACAATCAAACATGGCCTAAACATTACACATTCATCTGACTGTAATTTACCAGACCATCACAAACAATCATTTCTTTCTTTTCGCAGTCAAAGGAAAAGCCACAGTTAGGTTGAGCAGGTTATTAGTTAGATCTTTTGATATTTTTATGTATAATCTCGGTCCAGTATGAGCAGCTGAAGCACTTATGGTTGAAAATTCATTGGCCGGACCTTCATCTCCACTCTCTTGAGAGAGTAGTTGGGGCCGTGCCAAGCATACCAAGTGATCCCATCTGTGTTCTTTGTGTGCTCACCGTAGCGGTAAAAAACACCATTCAGATTGGAGTCGGTACAGCAGTTGTACCAGTATCCACCTGGGAAGGGTGAGGAGAAAACCATTAAAGTTACGGTTGGCTGAATCGATGCATCTTGTTATTTTATCTACTGTAAATAACTACCTAATATGTTTCGACTACATTTAGTTTTGTRAGTTACCTTTGCGTAGGGAAGCACAATTATCCACACATTTGTCGTTGTCCTTGTCGTTGGTGCTGAAGTTAGTGTTGTTGTGGTAGCGCAATGAGTTTCCAGCATTTCCACTATAGTTGGCCAGGAAGAGCTTGTAACTGTTGAGCTCATTCTTCACAGTGAAAAAGCCATACTCAGCGTAGCGTGTCTCTCCCTCCCAGTCCTGCATTGAAAACCAAATCATATAATGAGGGATAGTCAGAGAAACAGAGGTTATTAGCTTCTGTGGTCTGCATTCACTTGGTTTATTATYAATCTTCTTACTTTCAGTACTAATAGATATGAAGTGGTTCTGTTTATATTCACGGACTCTTACTTCTGGCAATGAAATGGTTCATGCATGGTTTAAAGAATCTGCAGTTTGTCAACCCAAACCCACATGTCTGCGGTGCTTTCCAACACATACCTCCATCTCAATCCTGAGTGTGCTGGGCTGCCTCGTTAGGCGGTAGATGTTGTCATTGCCCAGCCAGAAGTCCCCACGGATGGATCCAAAGCCAGTTTTGTACTGCTTCCAGTCTTGTTTGAAGGACGTCAGGCCAATCTTGCGTCGTTGAATCAGAGTCCAACCACCGCCGTTCGTCTCCATATCACAGAATATCTGGAACAAAAGAACCGTTGTTTGGCCCGACCGTACTAAGACGTCGTGGGAACAAGAAAATGAACTCAGACTTACGCTGATCTCAGGTGTGCCCAGGAAATCATCTTTAGGGAGTTTGTACTCGCCAGAGATTTTGTAGTTTTTGCCATAAAGTGATGCACAGTCGTATATGGCATCTGGAAAAGAAGGAAATAACAATTTATGCTGAAACCATCTGCAGCTTTGTGTGTTTTTTGGAAAACTGRCTGCTGTAATATAATGTTTTATGGGTTTATCAATTGACTTGGGAAAAAAACCTTTTTAATGTCAATTAAAAGCGAGCAAAAAAGGTTTTGCACAAATCCCACTTTTTACTTATATACCCATTTTTAATGATGCCATTAAAAGGATTAGGAAGTCGCTTTGAAGCAATGAGCCTAAAATGTGATTTGTAAACCTTTCACTTTCTCTAATCTGGACAGCCCTTCTGTCCTCTGCTCCCTGATATCTTCAGGTCAGGGTGGGGCTGGAACCTGTCCTCGCTGCCTTTGGGTGAAGGCAGGGGACACCTGGACAGGTCTCCAGTTCACCAGAGACAGCTGGACAGGTCTCCAGTCTCCATCAGGGACACAAAAGAGACAATCAACCATCCACACTCTGTCACACCTGGAGTCACACAGAAGAGCTCCAGAAGGTTTCAAACTGAGAACTCTGGACTCAGATCATCTGCTGCACACAGTTCTGATAATTTATTATCAATAATAATTTGCTACGATAAATTATTACTAATAATTATCATGAGGAGTCCTTAACTTTAGGATGTAGTTAGGCAATTAAATATTTATGTATGTGTAAATTTATTACCATAATTAAAGGTGAGTCACGTAAATTTATGTTTTCATAAAACAAGTAGTGCACCCCCCAAGACCAGTTTCCTAGGGGAAACACTGGTATAAGATTCTGTCTATGCCTATTTGAAAACGGCTCGTATACTAGTGGGTGATGGTCTGTGAGTAATTTTAACCTAACTTTAAGTTTGCTTTTTTACTGTCAAAGAATGCTTGCTTCTTTTGAACAATAAAGGCAATATAACTAAAACAGAACGAATCCAAGTCGAACCAAATTTGAAATCTACTAAAAAAAATCAGGTTTGATTTTCAAGTTTAGTTTTCTCTAAATTGTTTTTCTTTAGAGCGGAAGAACTTATCAACAGACAAAAGATTATCAAATGTGTTTTGTGCACCAGAACCATAATATTATAAGCACTTTTGTCAATACTTGCATAAATAATTGATAAGCATTCAGTATTTTAAGCAAAAATCAATCCTAATCTTTTCAGTAATTTTAGAGATGAGAAACTCACGTGACGAAGTCTGCGTGGCCGACTGTAGAGTTTGCAGCTGCATGATCTCCACTCGGTTGTTGACCTCTGAATACTTGCTCTCTGCCTCTGTGACCCGAGCATTTAGCTGCTGCTTCTGCTTGTCCAGCTCCATTACTTGCCTCACAACATTAATCAGGTCTGTCTCCTGCTTGCGACTCAACTCTTCGAGGATGCTGGTCAGATTGGCCACCTGAACTTTGAGAGAGCGCACCTCGTCGCAGCACTGACCCTTGGAGGTCTTTGGAGGCACCAGTCTTTTCTTGGGCTTCTGGGCCTCGGTTGTTTCTAACAAGAGCAGCACGACACCCAGGGCTACAATACTCAAATTCATTTTAGCCATTTTTTTAAAGTGCTCAATCCTCCCGTTTTAGGTGTTTTTGAATTGTTCTAGTGTCGGCTCTCGTTTCTAAAATGATCAAAAAAACTCAGGTTTAGTTCAGCTAACAGAAATGTTGAGATGAAGTTCTCTTCTTCACCAGYGGCACATGGGTGGTTTGTCTTCTCTGAAAAGTCCTCCTCTGGTTGAGCATCTTAAATAGTTTGCATATGGGTCCTCCCCCTCTTTACTGCTGTGCTGACCCTCTCCAACCGTGTGGGTGGAGGACCTCTCTCAACCTGTTTTCCCCTTCCCTCCACTATGTCACCTTCCTGTAACAGTATGAGTGAAAGTAATAGCCCACGTTTCCCCTTTCTTTGTTAGATGTGTAAGGTTTCTGAGCAGTAATAGTTATTATTATTATTATTTTTTTGCCTGTTGCTTGAAACAAGGGTCACTGTCTGGACTTGTGCTGTTAGTATATGATTGTGCAAAATCTTTAAACGCTAAATAATATTTAAGCATCCTGAATAGCTGTTTCGTGCTGTGGACCAGCTGGAGGTGATTTCCTTGTCTGTTGTCACACTTAAGTCATCACGGTAATGAAAGATTTTACGTTATCCTTAGGCCTCACCACTTTTCTTGTAAACTTGGTCTTCACTTGTTTCACTTGCTGAGAAATGTGTGAAGTCACTAAGTACTCCTAATTGTAGGTTTTGTTTTCTGTTGATGCCTCCCTTTTTTGGCAAAAGTTTAGGAAGGTATTTTTTTTTCCTCAACTAAGCTTTTAAGAGTATAATTTCAGATGGGTGTTAACACAAGAAAAAAAGCTCTAAAACTTGTAGGGGGAAAAACACATCAAAGCAGCACGTATTTTAACAGAAAATTGTTCAGATCTAAGTTAAAGTTCAAATTATGTATTCTGCTTTCATTTTTAAAGCTTAACAGTTTGCCACAATATATGCATATTTTAAATATTTTACAGTGTGTTGTTTTTTTTACTGGTAACATAAAAATAACAAGATACTTCAGTTTAAAATAAAGCATACTTGTATTTTGTTGTTGTTTTTTTTGCGTTATAATCCATTGACATTTCCCTTTTAATAACTCAAAGTAAAGGTTGAGGACTTGTGTGGAGTCATTCTGAGTGTGTTTGACAGGATAATTTCCTCAGTAATTTATTGAAAGGCAGTATTTCCAGGGAAGAAAAACCTCTGAAAGCTAATACACGACCACTCAATGTGACTTCTGCAAATATGAATGTAAGCCAAGTTTTTAACACCTGTGGTTTTGGAGGATACATGGTAGCTCATGTTGTGGAAATATCGTCCTCACTATGTTAACTGCTTTGTTAGATTCACTATTAAAATTACCTGCCAAGTTTTGTGTTTGCAGGCCTATTAGCTATGTTTACAAAATGCATAAATGATGCTTTTTCAAATATTAGGAAGATTTTCTTACATCTACTTTGTGTCTCAGTCCATCATAACCATCTTCACTAACACACACCTCCAAACAAACGTGATTTAACTTAATCTTTTATTCTGAAGTAAAATAGTATTAATATTGCTGGTGTTTTTATAAGTCTTAAAATAACATTTTTGTGACAGCTTAAGAACGGCATTGTAATGGAAATATTTATTTAACAAAGACAGAAATACGTGGTATGAAGGAACTCTGTGGAATGATCAGCTGAGTTTTATTGCAACAACAGGAACACAGAACAACATCAGACTGTCCCCCTGCTCTCTGCTCCTGGTTTTCCTTCGCTGAGCCAGTTGAGGCCTCATATATACTGTTTAGCAAACACTATTCTGTCATCTTAATAAAGCAAGATTTCATCCTAAGGCAGGACTATTCAACTGGCGGCCTGCGGGCCACATCCGGCCCGCGAGTGATCAAAGTTCGGCCCGCCAATTGGTTCATTCATCTCTTAAGCCCAAACCCCCGGTTTTCTACTTTAATTACTCTAAGTCCTTTTAGTTAAACATAGACATGTTTGGTGTCTACAGAAACGTCAGAATTTTGGCTACAAGCTGGTAAAAGCCATTTCTATGCACACTCAAGACAGTTAAAACTACAAGCAGTTGAATATAAAAATTGAAAATTGAAAATGAAATTGGTATAAAAATTTGGCAAGTCAGAGATGTCATATTATTTGTGTTAAATAGGAGGCAGAATGTGTTCTTTTTGTTTTGATATTGATWACTTTTATAGGGTTCTGTATGTTGTATTCATGATTAAATACAGCAAAATAATCTATTTCAACGCTAACAGATCTTTGTAATACTTGGATTATTTACATAATGACTTTAATTGCTGAATGTTAGGCCCCTGAGCTGTTTGTCTGCAGTAAATGTGGCCTCCGGAGCAATTTAGTTGAGTAGCCCTGTCCTAAGGAAATGCTGGGTCAAGGGAAAACACAAAGATAAACACAAGTGATATCTAAGAATGATTGTTGTTAGCAAATCTTGTTCCGGCTTTAATCATTCTATCTGCTGATGAACAGCATGTCATGAAAACCTAGGTCATTAAAGGATGTCATGAATTACTGGCTTAAACCTAAATATTATTTCCATAATAGGCATGACGGCGGCACAACGGCTCAGTGRTTAGCACCGACGCCTCACAGCAAGGTCCTGGATTTGATCCCTGTTTCGGASCTGGGGTCTTTCTGTGTGGAGTTTGCATGTTCTCCTCGTGCTTGTGTGGGTTTTCTTCGGGTACTCCGGTTTCCCCCACCCTCAAAAACATGTACAATAGGTTGCCTTCAGGCCCTGGCCTACCTTGGAAAAGAGATCTGAGATCTCAACGGGACTTGCCTGGTTAAATAACTGTAAATAAATAAAAATTAGAACATATCATTATTGCTGAAGTTTAATGGTTAAATGTACTTCATATAGAATATTAGTAACATTACTATAAGGAAAATATATATTGTTTAACATAAAATTTAATGTTTAGCAGAGATTGGCCTAATGTGGTGTAAAAGTTTGATCGAATAATAGAAACATAGAGAGAAAACAAAGAAAAAACAGGCATCTGCTGTTATATTACATAATCACACACCAATTTAGTTTTAAATTTTGAAAAAGGTCAAGGCTTTTTCCATTCCTTAAAAACAAAATGTTAGACAGACATCTTCACTTATACACACTGTCAAACAAACCAATAAGGAAAAGGTTAAGCAGTCAATTAAGCTTATCTTTATATCACGGAAACTGCAAGTTTGAGAATAAAAAAGTGCTTGTATTATTCCAAAGGATTACGTAAAAAGTGCCTTTTTGTGTTTTGATGCTTCACAAGGTTGGCACTAAACATTTGGATGCATTTGGATTTGGAGTGGTCCTTTTTCMTAGCGTCAGTGTTTCCCAAATACTGAGTCAAGGAAATAAGAATTGGTCTATGGATTCTAATTTTCTTTTTATTCCTTTAAATGTATTAGTTGTTTTTGAAATTGTATTTTGAGTTATTAGTTACTTTAAACTGGTTCGGTGGTAAATTTGACCATTATAATTTATAAAACTAAATAAAAGAAATCCATAGCTAAAACGTCATGTTGTGGTCACACCTGTCTTATTCTTTTGCTAATTCAAAAAAGACATTCTCAAAGATATCTTTGATGATGCTTTCTCCTGACTTCCTGTTGGTCTTCCTGTAAATGTTGACTCAAGATAATGATGTGTGCTGGTCTCTTTTGGTAAAATTAAGACGGTTTTCTTTTCTGCATTTTCTCTTTGCGGTAACTGCTCTGAGTCACATTTTACTCTCAACAGAGCTCCCCAAAGGCATCCTTTTCCTCTGGCCCTGGTCTTTGTCATTGTGTGTTATTTCACCAGTGTGCAGTCAGTGGAATTTTGTTTATAGGGATAGCTTCATGATGTGTTGTCTGCATTGAAGCAGCTTTTAACACTTCTTTCCTCACACATTTTCATGTCCCCAAAAACAACAGTGAAGCATTCTGTAATCAAAGAGTAATTAGCAGGGTTAGCTGACAGCACAGTCAGTTCATTTATAGCAAAGGCAAGATATTAAATTAGCAGCTAGTAAATTCAAAAATTACAAAACCTCATGTCTTTATTAGCAGTTACATTTTACAGCTACAGGTTATGTGAGCACAGTGGCTTAATGAGCATATTTTGTATGAAAAAATGTAATTTTATTTAATAATACATTCTTAATCCTCACAGCCAATGTACACAAAATACTATTGTCTCAGTATTTTTTATGTCATGGGATCAGATTAAAACCTGTAACACTTCTTTGGCACAATAACAAAAGATTAGGGCATTGCTGTCTAACATCACAAGGCTATTCGCTTAAGAAAAATCCTCTCAAACACCCAGTGGTTCCGTGATGGGCACTGTTAGCTTAAGACACATTCCTCTGGGATTTTATTTTAGGGTGCTGTTCGGTCCTTGTAAAGCTAAAGCAAGAAATGTATTTCCATATTTGGTATAAATTTAAGCTTTTTTTTCATGGACTAGCRTTGAAGGTTTAATCATGGGTTGGTGGGTCTGGTTTGGGAACTCTGAAGAATTACTTTTTTCATAGGATGTGACATTGTTGGCTCCTTTAAACTATGACCTTTAGTGGGTACTGCAGTGATGTATGTTGGGGGTGAACATTTGGTTTTTGTAAGCCATGGTTCTTGTTTGACAAAAGGYTGCTATGTAATTGGGTTGGAATGTAAAAGGCACTGTAAAGTTGGAGAGTGAAGACAAGCARACAAGCCACCTTGGAGTCCCAAGTCAAATGTAATAGAGTGAACAGTATTTCATTTAAACCTGGTCACGTTTAGGGACAAAAACTGTTCCACTCTTTCTTTAATGAGGGGCACAGTATGCACCGGGCCATCTTTTAGCTGAGAGTGGCAAACTGTGCCCTGGAAGACCATCAAAAATCTGGTGGCTTAAGCCAGGAATGGCTGCCAGGTGTTGTCCWTTGTCGTACTGTATATCTTGAATACAGGCCAGGTTCCATCTGTGCTCAATCCTATAAACTCAGTAGCAGGAACTAAATACATAAAGATGGAAAAAAATGGATTAGATATTATCCATTTAAAATTGTTTTCCATGCATTTGTGTAGGAGCAACTGCTATGTCCTCCTTCCAAAGAAAGATATTTCATGATGCAGTTGTGTTATGGGCCAATAAAAAAAACATTCTAACAGAATAAACAATTTTCCAATTTTAAAAATGGACAAAAATGTACTTGGTCTCAGTAATGTGTTTATTTGTTGAAATGCATTTAGAACAAATTTGTCAAGTTGGCTTGCATGATTCACTAAGTTTAATTGGTACAATGTTTTTGTCAAAATAAATTGGCTGTTATCTGCTTATAGTTTCAGTTCTAGAAGACAGAAATCAGTAACAGCTTGGTAGAACTGAAATTTAATAAAGCAAAAATAAATGTTTTAAAGCTTCAAGGAAGTACAGATAAGTTGACCAGAATGCTAAAGGTTTGTTTTTTTTTAATAAGTGTACCTTCCACAGAAGACATACTGACTGCACAAATCGTTTCCTACAGCAGCATTCCAAAAAGGTGACCGTAATGTGTTTTCCTTTCAGACTATTAGAGACACTTTGTTTTGTTGGCTTCTTGACCCAAACAGTGAGAATTCCAGGGGCCACATATTGCAGCTGTGTTCCTGTGTGGGCAGTAGTCTGGTGTACATGGGCTTTAAAGCTGCTGTATGTAGTTTCTTGAAAACCCAAAAACAGAAAAATTTTGAACAGATACAACCTTGTAGTCCCTCCCCCCTGCTCTCAGCTCCCCTTCCTAAGCTCCTCCCCCACAACAGGGCCCAGAGTCGGGAGCGCGCACGCTTGTTAACAGGAGGTGAGCCACACCGTAGCTCACAGAGCTAATCTGCCGTCACAGGTAAGAACAAACCATCAACAATATATTTTTAACTATCATGTCTTGCCCATACTTTATCTAMACAAGTGCTCCTTTTGTCATAACGTTACATTTAAATTATGTTGCGCTCTTTCTGTAAGTTATAAATAGCTATCAAGCTAACACAACACCGAATCTGCGCAGTGGTTCTGAATTCCGGTCCTCATGACCCACTATCCTGCATGTTTTAGCTGTTTCCCTGCTTTGGAACACATGATTTAAATGAATGAGTGATTGACAGGCTTCTGCAGAACTTAAAGACCTGCTGAAGAGCAGGGAAACATCTAAAACATGCAGGATAGTGGGTCACGAAGACCAGAATTCAGAACCATTTTAGGATTTCAGCAACATGACATGCCTGTGTATTAGTATTTTTCAGCTCTTGCTTTGCACAGCGTGACATTTTATCTTTATGCTATGCAGCTAGTTTTTGACAATCATCTACCAGCTGATGGAGAGAAGCTGTGGTGGAGCATAACGCAGGTCACTGGGAGACACAGCAGCGTGGGTTCAGCTCCTGAGAACCTCAGCAGGACATCTGCATCTCAACCCTACCTTCCACTCATCAAACCATATATTATTCTGCTGGCAGGAGTCTTGTTTCTGGCCAGGAGGATCTGTAGCTGAGCTTACAGATGATDCTGAAGACAACAGGCAGTTTGTGGCTTGCACTTCTGGTCAGAACAGGCTGCTGAGTGTGGACTTCAAGGACTGTTTTAAACATCTTCATGGACACTACAGTGGATTTATTCCCTTGAGGCTATACATTTTTAATACTGTCTTGCCATRTATAAAACATTTTCCTATTTAAATTAATATTTCTATTATAATTTTGGTAAATATTCTTCAATAAAGTGTTAAATGGTTTTAGTTTTTTGTAACTGCTTATTAAAACTAAAGCATCACTTTACCATTGAACATTACTGAATTATCTTTTGATCAATTACAAAACACAAACTTACATTAGGAATCATGATAAATCACTGGGTCAGTGCTAGACATGCAAAACAAGAACTAACTTCTTAAAAATATGCTCTTAAAAACTTGTTTTTTAATAGACACTGTTATTTTATGTCTCTTGTGGTAATACACTGAAACGTGTCCAGTATGTCTGAAGGGACCAAAAATWACTTTGTCTAGTTTGTTGATGCGTCTACAGCACCAGGAAGGCATCAGTGGCACTGCCCTGGAGTGGTTAAGGTCCTATCTGGCAAACAGAACATTTTCAATAAAAATTACAGGATTTGAATCCTTTTCTGTTCCTCTGTCATGTGGGGTTCCCCAGGGTTCAATTTTGGGGCCTTTGCTTTTTTCTTTGTACATCCTACCTTTGGCTTCAATTTTTAGAAAACACGGACGGCATCTCCTTCCATTGCTACGCTGACGACTGCCTATGTACTGACTGACTATGTACCTCTAAGGCGAGTTGAGGCTTGGTCCATTAAATCTCTTTTTTAGCATGTCTCGATGATCTTAAAGCCTGGATGGCCCTAAATTTCTTGCATTTTAATGAAAAAAAGACAGAGATACTTGTTTTTGGACCTAGTAGAGCATGCCCGAGTCCTCTAGTGGATTTAGACCCCTTGGCTATGTGTGTCAAGCCCACAGCTACAAACCTTGGTTTTAAGATGGACAGTGATTTTAAACTTGACAGTCAAATAAGGGCTACAGTTAAGTATAGTTTTTATCACCTGAGAAAAATAGCAAAKATAAAATCTATTCTTTCAAGGCAACAGTTTGAAGCAGTGGTTCATGCTTTTATTTCATCTCGACTGGATTACTGTAACTCACTTTATTTTGGAGTAAACCAGTCATCCCTCGCACGTCTGCAGCTGGTGCAAAATGCTACTGCCCGTCTCTTAACAGGAACACGTAGAAGGGAGCACATCACCCCGGTCCTGGCTTCCCTCCACTGGCTGCCTGTCTGTTTTAGAGTCCATTTTAAAATCCTTCCGTTTGTTTTTAAGGCTTTAAACAACCTTGCCCCAACCTATTTAACAGAGCTTCTTCACCGTAACACCCCCCCTTGGTCACTCAGGTCTACTGACCAGCTGCTCCTGGTCAACTTGGATTTCTTCCTGGGTCTTCTTCTGTTTCCCTGTGTTGGGTTTCAAAACAGGTTCCAATCCAGGTTGTAGGGTGTAGGTTGTTGGAGGGGTCAGCTTCACTCAGCTAGCTCAGCTAGTTTACTGCTTGAACGAGAGCGCGCTAGCTCGGCTGCGCTGCGTGCGCGCTGTGCGGGCAGGGACGGAGGTGGGCAAGAACAGCTCGTGCATGAGACAAACCTCACTTTTGATTGGCTGTTCGTCTCCGGGTCGAGAGATTTTAACAGAGGGCAGAAGGACCACCGGGAGAAGCCAGAGGACTTTTTCCCCCCTTTTCCCCCCCAAAGATTATCTGTCTAATATCAGTCAGGACATAGTGACAGTTTTAACAAATATGTCAAAAATATATATTTTAAAAAATTACAGACTGCAGCTTTAAATGATTTCTCCAGCTGATTTCTCAGTGGCCTCTTTATGTGTCTAACTTAGTTCAGAAAACCTCCTCATAAGAATGTCATCAGTCATCATTTTAGGTGGTGGGGTTATTGAGTGGTCTGTTTTTCTCTTGGGTATCATGTTAACTGGTAGGTTTTGTTCTTTTGGGTTGGTGTTTGTTCAATTTTTTAATTAGCTTTAATAAATAGGATTTTATTATTCCRTCTAAGTGGTAGCAGTTTTTAAAGTTTTCTTGGAGATTGTGGCTAAACCATAGTCACAGTCGACACGTATAGTGTCATGGCATCACGACGACATTACACTAACGTAATCATCTTTTGTAACTTCTGCACTATCAAGCAATGGTGATCAACTTTTCTTAAAGATAGTGAAAGAGAAGTCGAGAAACTAMCTGTTTTTGTAATGACTTCTTACTGATCTTTGCTTCTGTTGAAGATTAGATTCTTACATTTTGGGGGTCATGGTAGCTCTGTATCTTGACAAAGGACAAACCTCAATTTTCCAGCAGGAGGATGTTGTTGGCAACATTAGTTTTTATTTAATTATTCTTATTCAGGTCCAATATGCTTTCAATCATGTTTTTAACTGTATTTCTTTATAACTTCTTTGTATGTTGTCTGAAGGTTAAACAATCACATCTAATTCATGTGTCAACAATCAGTACAGTAGTTTTCTTTCAAAACTCAAGTCATGCCTGTAAAAATATTCAACTAAAAATGTGGGAATGTTTGGGACTCATTAATGTCAGTCATTTTCCAGTTGTGCCTGACAGATGTCTGAATAAGATTGTCTGTGCAAAAAAAACAGTTAGTCTAGACACTGGTCAATATGAGACGTGATCAAATTTAAATAAATGAGAAGAAGCTGAAAAGATTGTTTTTTTCTTGTAATTATTTTACCGAGTCTATTGTTAAAAGTCTAGTCAAGATTTTTTCTTATGACTATTTTGTGTTGAGAATTTGTCATTTTGCCGATCCTAGTTCTTTGCAGCTTCACTTGACTTGTTTTCTCAGTTTGGCTTTTAATCTTTTAATTACTACAAATAATCCRTTTCACTGGTTGATTTTTGTTGCAAAGATGGTAGTTTATTAAAGCTGTGTTCTCATCTATTGTCTGCCAGTGGAGAACTTGGACAGTAAAGGTTCACTATCATGGTGTGAGATCACTTCCTTTTCCACATTGGAATATTAGTGATTTGCAATTTGACTGGCTGGACTAATACCTTAAGTCCAGCTCTCCAGTAAACGTCAGCTCCCAGGCTTAAAAAAAATAATTCAGTAAAATTTTTAATATTTTCAGAAAAATTCTGTATAGCTAATGAAGTCACAGATTGTTTTCTTTATGAATAATTCAACTCCTTTATCATAGGTAACAAACTATATTTCTTGGTATTGAACTCTGTTTTAAGTTTTATTGAGTTGTGCCCTAAATTGTATCTTTTTCCAATAATATAATTGAATTTGTCAGTTCWGAAGAATGCCTAAGTTGAAGAAATGTATTTAAATACCTGGTTTGTACACTGAGTCAGTATAGCACCATTATAGTCTCACCATCCAGTTTTTTTAGGGTACATTCAAATTTAGAAATATGCTTGATGTGTTGAAATAAATTAGTTATCTATTAAATAAGCAATAAAGGTATTGACGGTGATGAATATAAGTCTTTTGCATGCTAAGTTTTTACTTGAGAAGAACATCATGCGGGCCTTTCCATCTGGACGTATTTAGACTGCTTGTGCTCGGAGCTGGGAGCCAGATGGCTTCAGTGGAGGGACAATAAAAATCTCCTGGGTCTACAGTAGAGAACACTTTTATTCAGATTTGTCTTCAGATAAAAACCCATCTGGACATCTTTGTTATAGATATGTGGTGAAGAACTTGCTGTTTTTGTTCATATGTTTGAAAGGTTTTTAATTCACAACAGATAACATGCTCAAACCAAAGGACCAAATATACAACATATTTTTGCGACATCGTCATTGTTTTTTAGAATTCTTTGTGGAAGTGGTGTTTATTGGAAACTGTAGTTATGTAATTGATCGTTGAAACAATGCCCTCCATTATCTTCCGTGAGAGTCACAGACAAATGCTTGTTTACTAAAGTCACTTCATTTCATGCAATCACACAATGTTTAGTTTGATTTCCACAAAGTCAGGTCTCACATGTGTCACCAAATGGTCTGTATCATGCTTTTAACATAAGTACGTAAGTAAGTAAGTAAGTAAGTAAAGTTTTATTAATATAGTGCCTTTCACAGACATAAATTCACAAGGTTGCTGTACATTCAGTGAAGCGGGGAGGGGGCAGTTAAGAAACACCCATTCAAGAAGACATACACGACAAACATGGGGGAACATCCAAGATTCAGAATTTAAGTTGCGTTAATATGAGCCAGTACCTTTTTATTTAATAATAAACTATTCTAAACACATAAATTACAATTAGGCTGCTGCCTTACACACCATTATAAATCAAAATCACCATGCCATGTAAACCAAAAGCAAACACGACAAAAATTAATCACAAAAAATGTTCACAATTTACACAATTTTTAACTCAGTCATGACATTGAAAAACATCACTTTTTGAAAGCAGGTTGCCCTCTGTGCATAAATAAAAAGCTTAGGTGGTGTTTTATTTGTTTGAGAGGATCTTTTTCCCCCTTTTATCACACAGGTGTTTACCACCAGGCCCTTAAGTTCTTGCATGAACTTTTACTGTACAAATTTGTCATAKTTTAGTATTTGCCCWACTTCAAATCTGRCTTTTTACTTATAAAGCTCACTTATCCTTTATCAACCTTTCCCTGCTGTCTTGAGRAACTTGACTGCATACCAAAGCTCTTCAAACACTACATTTTTCAGCTGTATTTACTGCTCAGGTTTTTTGGTGCAGGAACTATAATAGACCTGTGGTTTATAGGAGTGTTTCCAGATGCGCTTGCAGCACCAAAATTGTGGTGTCTTGACAGACAATGCAGTATTTGTCAATCAGTGTGGCAAATCCTAAAAAGTGCATTTTTGTCTCACCATAAACACCTTTGCAGGAGAATAAAATGATTAGTAGCGTTGAACTTCACTGAGGCAGGTTCTGATTAGAGTTTTTTTCTCTTGAGGAGCATGGATGGTATAAAATAGTGAAAAACCAGTTGATGGATCACAGTCATGTTTAACACAATTTGAACATACAGGTTTTTTCCTCTGGTTATGTCTTTAAAATATCTTATTCAACTAGCCAATTTAAATGTGACGAGTAATCATTCTTTATATACATATTCAGTTTAGAGGAGAATTATCRTTAACATCTTTATTTTTGCCCAATCCCTCGACTAGAGAAGTTCTGTATATAAACCAGAAAAACCAAAG